CCCCAAAACCCCAAAACCCCAAAACCCCAAAACCCCAAAACCCCATGCTGCTGTTAAAATTTTGAATTATTCAATTTTATCTCAACTATTCATGAATCCCGATTGTTTGTTTGAACTCATTCATAAACTTTTCTTCTGTGGCTTTGTAGTCCTTAGAACTTGCAGTAGCTATTGAAGCCTCAGCACCTCTTCCGATATATTTGACTGATTTCCCGACGAAGCCAAGGCTGCTTAGAGCTCTCTTGATGTGCATCTTGCACCAGCTGAAGGATCCCATATTAATATGCTCCTCTTGAAGATAGTACAAATCAGTATCATTGTCTAAGTCAAGGTCCTGGAGTGCTTGCTTAACTTCATTCATGGGGAAAGGAGATAGTTCCTCTACTCTAATAATGGCGCAGTTTTCATGCTCAGCATGTGCTCTAGGAACTTGATGGAGCTTCAGCCAGACAGAACCACTGCAGAAGATAACCTTGTTGATCTTTGAATCATCTTTGATGTATTTATCGATAATTATTGGCTGGAATTTGGTTCCTTCCTCCAGTTCAGAAATATTTGATCTAGCCAATGGATGTCTTAGTCCTTGCTTAGGAGTAGCCATGATCAAAGGCTTCCTGTAGTTTCTCAACATTTGTCTTCTTAAGATGTGGAAGTAATTGCTTGGCATTGTACAGTTTGCAATGTGCATGTTAGCCTTTTGATGAGTTAAATCTCCAGCAGTGAAATCTTGTTCATTGTAAACAGGAGAATTCACCTTTTGCAGATGTCTCTCTATATGGGAGCTTGTGTGCTCTGGGCCAGCTCCATCAGATCCGTGAGGTAAGAGAATGACTAATCCAGTCTGTCTTAACCATTTTTCTTCTCCTCCAAGTAAATATTGATCAAACAAAATTTGTGCTGGGTTGTAGAAATCTCCGAATTGTGCTTCCCAGATGCACAAGTTGTTAGGATTTTCAAGAGTGTATCCATATTCATAGGATAATGGACCATATTCTGAGAGATTGGAATTTAAGACCTTAATCCTGCCTACTCTTGTCTCCATCATATAAGGAGATCCTTTTAACGGGAAGAATTTTTCGTTCTTGTCTTGATCAACCATGATCAGATGCCTATGACTGAAGGTTCCTCTCTCTACATCTTCCCCTGTGAGTCTGACGTTATATCCTTCTTGAAGAAGAGATCCCATAGCCATTACTTCTGCTGTAGCCCAGTCAATTTTTCCTTGTTCAATAAGCTTCTTTCTTGCTCCAATATGAGTTCTCTTGAGTCTTTCATGAGGATTGAACAGGTGTTCTTGGTATTCGACTGAAGCATGGGCAATATTGACTAACTTTTCAGAGTCATACCCTGTATGTTCTGGTTCTACACCAAAGGTTGAGAAGTCATGATTCTTCCATTTATGAGTCATGCTCCTGATTCCTTTGAAGTGAGGGTCCTTTGTCTGCTTTAATGTTGGCTTATAGTTTGAAGATTCTTCAAATTCTTTTTCACACCAATCATTGAATCTCTTTTTGAGATTATCAACTGTGGTTCTCTTGACAGTACCCTCTTTAAGAAGTTTCTCAGTATATTGAGTAGCTACTGAAGGTGTTGATCTAATCTTATCGTACATTCTTGGTTGAGTAAATCCTGGCTCATCAACTTCATTATGGCCATATTTCCTGAAACTAATCATATCCAGCATGATATCTTTATTGAACCTTTTCTTGTAGCGGACAGCAAGCTTACAGACTCTTGAGACAGCCTCTGGGTCAAATGCGTTTACATGAATGATTGGAATTCCAAAGGCTTTTACAACATCTGAGGAGTATCTTCCAGACCGTGATTCTTCAGAAGTAGCTGTGAATCCTAATTGGTTGTTAGTGATGAAATGAATAGTTCCTCCAATCGTGTAATTCTTAAGACTAGCTAGAGCTAGAGATTCAAATGCTACTCCTTGCCCAGCAAAAGCAGCATCTCCATGTCCTTGAATGTTCAAAACACGATGAGGGTTTTCATAATCATCCTGCTTTGCTTTAGTTTTACCCATTGAGATGGAGTTTTGGGATTCCAGATGAGAAGGATTGTTAACCATGGTCACTCTGATTCGATGGTGCTTCTCCATGTTTCCACTGTTTACATATACTCTTGAGTTAGAAGGACCAATATGGGTTGGGATATCATCAAGACCACCATAAATTTCATCAGGAACTTGCTTTGTTCCTCTAATTTGAGCAAGTAGGTTTCTGAATGGATAGTCTTGAATCAATCATAATGTAGATAACCTTCCTCTATGAGGCATTCCCATGACAACATTCCGGATATTAAGCTCAGGATTCTTGTTATCTGTGTATGAAGCTTCTGCAAGGATAGAGTTTAATGCTGGGACCAAAGTCTCTGCTCCTTCTCCTGAATACCTTTTATAGCTAGGGAACTTTTTATGTAAAAACAGTTCAAAATCTTCTGCTCTCTGCAGGTTAGTAAGAATGTTCATCTTCTCTGCTTTAGAAATGGGCTCTAGCATAATTTCTTCATAGTTTTGATAAAGCCAGATCTTCTCCTCTTCGCTCTCTACGTGACTGAACTCTACTCCAACATTACTAGTATAAAGATATTCAAGATGCTTCTTTAATTCTTCTGCAGTTCCACAGTGATCCTTATAGGCCTCATTAAGTCTGTAATCGAAAGGGAATCCTGCAATGCTCTCTATATCACTGATCTGCCAGTGATCTAAACCAAATGAGGAATCCTTCTCAGTATTATTTGCTAGACCCAATGGGTCCAAAGTAGAATAGATATGTCCTTTTTCCTTATAATTTTGAATAAATCCAAACAAATTGTTCTGCTGTGGGATCTTGTTTGCATAAAAATCACTGCTCTTGGTTGAAAACATTGCTAATGATCTCATCCCTCCTGGTGCGACCTTTGTGATATAGATCTTATTGATCATTTTCAACTGATTTCTTTTAATCCTGTTTCAAGTGCCAAACATTTAATAAGATTTTATTAATAAATTATTCAATCGTCATCACCAATAAAGGGGTTTTGGGGTTTTGGGGTTTTGGGGTTTTGGGG